GGGGGTTGTCATGGAGGCACCAACAAGCACCCCCCCCTTTGCCTCCCCAAGTGTCTGGTCTGTTTGGAACTCGTAAAATAAACCCTCAGTTAGCCTCAAGGCTGCTAACTCTGGTGATAACCCATGAGCCAGCACCAATGCTGAGGTTGTTTCCTGGGGTCCTGCTTCTGTGCTACAGGGACTTGGCCTCTCCTGGGGGTGGGGGGTACAGGTGAGGCATGTGGTCATCCAGCTCCTATCAGCTGACATGGCCCCAGGCCTCCCCTCCAGACTAGGTTACTAGCCTCCCTTCCCCCCATTTCTATCCATAGGACACAAGACTAGTGTCCTGAGAGGTGTGGAGGAAGAGGACACAGGAGCCAGGGTTGCAAAGGGCTCAGGAAAACAAGCCTGATTACATGAGGATCATGATGCTAGGGGAAGTTCTCTCTGCTGTCTAACCTGAATCCTCCACCAGAACAGGCAGGAAGGAGGAGGCAAGCCCTTGTTTGTATCCTGGTATCTGCTAAAGACTGGGGTCTTCCTTCTGCTTACATCTACCCAGGCCCCTTGAGTAAAGAGGGTGAAACCCTGGGCTGGGGCAGGACGCATTCCTAGTACATTTGGAAGGCACTGGATTCCACCCCAGGACTACTAAAGGAAAAAATGCTGGGCCGGATGGTGAAGGCCTGCAATCCCAGCTACTCAGGAGGCTGACCCAGGAGAACCACAAGTCCTGGCCTGCCTGGGCCACAGAGAGAGTTCAAGGCCAGCCTGAGTTAACTTTAAATGCCATCTCAAACAGCAAAGCGGGCAGGCAAGGCTGGGGATATAGCTGAGCGGCAGAATGCAAAGCCCTGAGCTCCATCTTGGTACAAGAAACGGAGGGAGGGAGAGAGGGAAGGAAGAAGGGAAGAAAGGGGAAACAGGGAGGAAGGGAGGGAGGGAGGAAAGGAGAGAGGGAGGAAGGGAAGGAAAAAGGGAAGGAGGGAGAGAAGAGAAGGAGAGGTTGAAGTCAGCCAGTGGGCTTCCAGGAAAGCAGGAATGCAGCCTGGAGCAGGGCCTGTCCCTGTCTCACCTCGGGCACCACACTTCAAAGGGCATTTGCAGCTATGACTTCATCTAACTCTCAAAGGAGCCTTGTGAGGCCGCTCTCAGGCTGAGCACCGGTCAAGAGCCGAAAGCCTGGGAAGGGTGACTTAGCCCTAGACGGCACGGATGAGTGCAGGCACCTGTTCCTAGAAACAGGATTCCCGCTCTCCTTCCCCAGAACCCTCTACTACTGAGCCCCAAGTTCCCATCTGTTCCCACCATCCTCTGACTAGAGGTCTGGTTTCCAGGGCTGGAGCAAGGGAGGGGCTTAAGAGGACAGACAGGAAGACAGCAGCCTGCCGATGGGCTGAGCAAGTGAGGAGGAGCACTTCTGAGGCCCCTCTTTTCAACCTGATAGACTCGGAGCCCTCCCCCATCAGACCCCAGGCTGTGACAGAGACAGTCTTCCCTGCGCACCAGCCCTGCAGCCAGAGTCTGGATGCCTCCAGGAATGGAGGCCTCACTAGAGCAAAGGTGTCCATCATCACGTGGGCTCCTCCTCCTGAAAGTAAGGTGCAAGGAGAGCCCAGACTCTCACAGGGCCCAGGAAAAGGTTATGACCTCTCCTTTTGCGGGTGAGGGAGGCTGCTACACCAATATCTTCCTTGTTGGGACAGGTCCTCCTCCCTGGATGGTCTGGCTTCCAGTGGCCTTGATAGAGCAATGCCCCTGGTGTCACTATCCTTCCCAGCTGCTGTCCTTCCGAACTGTTCTAGGGTCCACACAAGGTCTTAGGAATGTACCAGGTGATCTCCTTCTGCCCACACTATAAAAACACTCGCCCCCTGAGGCTGCCCAGGACAGAAGCAGTCCAGCTAGGTGTCCAGTGCTTTACCTCCCTGCTGCTCCCTCTGGAGTATCACACTGCCTCATCTTGAGCTTCAGATGCCCCTCACTCCTCCCTGCGTGTTCCTCCCAGCCAGCCATCTGCCTCAGGGCTCGGCCTGGTGGTCATGTGCAGGGGCCCCCAGCTCTGAACTCCACTGTTCCTCACAGCCCAACATGGTGGAGCCAAGGTGCACACAGCATGTATTCCGTCTGCCTGTGGGTCTCTGGTTAGTGGCCTGGGACCCCAGTAACCCCGGACAGATGCCCAGTCACCTTGGGGCGTGGGAAACCACAAACAACTGGACATCTGATGGACATGAACTACACAGCGCTTCCTCCTTCTGGCCCATTTCCCTCTCTGGGTGCTGCGCCTGTCCTGCTGCCCAGGACCCCAGGGCTCCCAGGGCTCGGCTCCCTGCCCCCAGCCACTTCCCGCACCGTGCCCGCATCTGATGCCCGTGCTCGCATCTGATGCCCATGCTCACGCGGTGGCTAATTCTGGCGTCTCATCAGACGGTAATTATGGGGGAATGTGCAGCACTGTCATCGCGGCGCTCGGCACCTGTCACCACTCCGCCATCATGGGCTGCTGGGATGGGACAGAAGCAGAGGGGGAGGGAGGTCTGGAGAGGGGCCCTTGCCTGCCCACAGGTCCCTGGGGTGGTCACCCTGTTGTTCAGGCATCCTGGCCTGGCAAAGGTCACAGAAGGAGTCTGCACATACCCTGTTCCATACGTCCTGGCACCTCCAAACTGCCTGGCACACAACAGGCGTGTGCTGACCGTGGACATGATCATGTGGACACCAGATACAGTCCCTGAAGAGGAGCCACAGAAGACCTAGTGTATACAGAAAGCCAGGCCTGGCACAAGTGGGAACACCTCAGTCAGGACACAGTAAAGATGTGGCCGAGGAATGAGGATGAGAGAGGGGAACCTCACAGTGGGTTCTCAGGAGCCAGGACTAACAAGAAATGCCTCTTGCATTCTAGTGAGTGGATGGCTCTCCTACTGCCCCAACAACAAGAGGGATGGAGGCTAGACTCAAGGCAGGCTTTGGGAGGAAGGCAGGGTGGTGAGAGGAGGCAGGGTTGGAACTTGGGTCATCTGTCTGATCCTGGGCATGTTGCATGATTTCCTGTCGTATCTGCTTTGTCTCCCCACAAAAGACAGCATCTTCAGCACTACTCTGGGGACAGCAGAATAGGAAGTAAACTACGGGACTATCATAGCAAAGACCTTAAGCCAACTCATCTCTCACAATGTCCCCAAAACCACCACCACCATAAGCTAATGGCCTCACCGCACCAGCCATACCGTGGGTAATTGCACCCCACATCCCACTGCCTTACCCTCAGAGCCCCTGAAACACACAGAACTACCTGAAAACAGCAAAATAGGCACTGAGCCCTCCCTGGGTGCCCTGGCTCCCACCCAACAGCAATTCAAACAATGCCCACATCCATTCCAAAATCCATCCACATCTTCCATTCAGAACAAGGCAAGACGGAGGCTGCCACATCTTTCCATGAATGCAGAAAGTAGGCTCAGGAAGTAGTGAACCCCCTCCATCACTGGGGGCATTCCAAAAGCAGACAGGCAGAAAAGAAGGCCTTGGCCCCTCTGCCGGAGCAGGCCTCCTCCCACAGGCCCCCTGAGATCTACCTGTCAGGGGTCTAGGGAGGACCAGGCCTTCTCAGGAGGGCATGCCGGCTCCTCCCCACCTTCTCGGGTAGGAGCTGAGGCTGGGGAGGGCAGAAGCATGGCTGCTCTTTTAGGAAAACGGTAATTTTAATTAAGAGGCAGACAAACGAGCGCTCCGCAGATTGTCTCAGAGCAAAGTTATTAAAAAGCCATCAAGGCGGTAGAGGCAGTCACAGCGGAGAGGAGCGCCGCCTCCCCCCAACACCCCATGTCTGCCTGGTTGGGGATGCGGGGTAGAGGACACAGAGTCACAGACAAGCTGGGCTCCACAGCCCCTCAGCTCTGGAGTAGGTGGTCAGTACCACACAGCACCTAGGCATAGCCAGCCCAGCCCTGGGCATGAGGCAGGAAGAGAAGCCACCTCCAGAGCACCCTGCTCAGGCAGGACCTCACGGGTCAGTGCCTGTCCCTCTTCACAGCCTGTCACATGTGCATTCTCCCCGTGACTCAGAACAACGAGGCTCAGACAGGGAAAGGGGTTCGTTCTAGGCCACACAGCTGCAACAGCTTAAATGGGGATTTGAACACAGGCCATCCTGACTCAGTGGTCTGAGCCGCTAGCCCTGAGCACAGAAGGAGGGCAGAGGGCTGTCCTAGTCCAGGTTCTGAAAGGCCTTAGCGGTGGCCTGACAGTACTGCTCCCAGCCTCCAGGGAATTGGACTCTGAGTCACTGCTTGATGGGGTGACAGCATGGGTCCCAGGACACTCTACAGGGATGGACAGGACAGTACAAAGGGATTTCCACCATTAGCAGGCCAAGTCAAGAAGATGTCAGTGAATAAGATATCACCTCACTGGGGTGGCGGACGGATGCCACTGTTGGGGGCTAGACCGCTGCTACGTTACATGGCCCCTGCCCAGAGACGCTGAGGGAGATGTCTCTGTCATAGAGATGCTGTGCACCCCACCACTCAACACCAATCCCTAAGGCAGCCATGGCCAGGCAGGGTGGCAAGGCGTGGCCCTGCTGGGTCTCCCTCTGGAGCCTGCGCCGGCTCAGTGACTCTTCAGAGTGAAGTGGACACTAAAGGCAAGGCGACTGAAAAACCATGTCCTGAGGTCGCCTGACCATTCCCACCACTACCCCGCCCCCAGCAGAGCCTCTGGAGCCTCATGTCTTAGCAGAGGTGGCCTGCCTCTAGCCCATGCCCAGCCCACAGACACACACCTACATACATGCCTGCGTGCTTACACAGGCACACTCACATGCACGCGTGTACACAGACACATATTTGCCAGGCAAGACGCCCTCCCCACACGGGGATCGTCCGTCCCCTCCCCCTGACATATGCCTGGCCCCCTGGGAACGGCCCTCCCAGTGGCCCATTGTGACCCTTTGCAGGCAGCGGAGGGTGCTGACTAGGTGACCGTGGTGGGCTCCCTCCTGGCTTACTAACCTGGAGACTTTAAACAGAGGGAACAGAGTCCTGCCGGCTTCCCTCCCGCCGCTCGCTGGAGCCCTGGGTGAGGGACAGGAAAGGAGGAAACCAATGAATGAGCTGAACGAGCTATGGGCAGGAGGGTTGGGCCAGGGGGCGGGGTGCAGCAAGACAGGGCTGTAGGAGCTGTCCCTTCAGAGGTCACCAGGGTGTGAGGGGCTCCCCTCGGGGTAGAGACCAGGGATTAGAGGAAGGGCAGGCAATAAAAGGACAAAGACATCACTTGGGGACAGACAGGAGGACAGACAGTAACAACACGGAAAACATGGGGTCCCCAGAGTTGAGGCCCCCCCCCTCGTCAGACAGACAGCCCTGGTCCTCTTTCTGGGACTAGGGAGCAGGCACTTGGCTTGGGTGCCCATTTAAGACCCCAAATGCAGCACCCATGGGGGCCCAACAGCTCCCCCTATCCGGGTCTCTCACTTTGGGCAGGAATGGGGTCAAGGTCAGAGGGCTAGCCTTGCTGTTCGCCGCCCTTACCCCAGCTCCAAAGACCCTTCCTCAACCTGGCAACCTCATCCCTAACCCCCCCCCCCCCACCAGCGGTGAATGTCCTGTCCAGCGGTCTCCAACAGAGGACACGGGCATTACACAGCCTACAGGTGTTTGCATGCAAATGCAAACCTTGCTTGGCAGCGGTGAAAAGCTCCGGTCCTATTTCTACTGGAGGCCCTTTTGCAGGGTCCCCATATCTCCCCTCATACCCTTCTCTTTCTACACGGAAGAACTTCCTAAATCTATCCTACCCTATGCTAACAGATACCACCTCTTTTTTGCCACCGGGTCTGAGGTACAAATCCCCTTCCTGCCTGGAGACGTTGCATCTGGGCACAGCCCTTGCTTGGCTAGCCTGGGTACATCCACACTCACTGCACGCACTCTCTGAGCCCCCTGCCAATCTCCCGGTTCCAATTTTCCCACCGATTACCCGACGCACGGACGCCCCGGGGAGAAACAGCTGCTGTACCCAGATGTGGGCAGACTACTGAGAAAGAAGGCAAGAATGCACCACCAATCCAGCACCCCAGGGTGCCCTGGATGGTGGGTGTGAGAGGGGCAGGCTGACTGCCTAGGGTAAAGAAGGGACTCAACAACCCAGTCTCCACACAGTGTGAGTGGTCCAGGATGACCTTGAACTCTGGAACCTTCCTTGGTGCCAGAATTACAACCGTGCTTGCACCCCATCTCCAGCCCCTTCTCATCAACCTCCCCAGAGCCCTGCCCTCTGCACCAGCTGAAGTACTAGGTCTCAGGAGATTCAAGGTTTCTTTTAGAATCTTTTCCACCTCTGCCCAAATTCTCTCAATGAATCCGGAGTCTGCAGACAGCCACCATGAATACTTTAAGGTACAGGAAAGTGAAGCCGTGTCCCCAGTGAGTGTCCCCAGAACTGCTCCTGAACTACCTCCCATCTAACCTTCCCTTGCATCAGTATTTGGGAAGTTCTCCCTGAAGTCTAACTGTGGTCCATTACATGTGAGGTCCATTACATGGTCCAGCAGATTTTTTCCCCCACATTCTTCCTGCCTCGTCTTAGGGCAGGTGACTGGCCCTGGGCTGCCAGGTGGGTGACAAGGTTTCACTGTGGGTGACTTTAAAGTCCCTCAGAGGACCCTTCCTGTTTAACACACCAGGAAGCATAGGCTCCTAAGGACCAGGTCTGGGGTTGGCAGTGAGGGTCTATGTCTGACAAGGGCTGTTATGAGCCCTGGACACCTTCTTGGGGAGCTTAATTCTCCTCAAGGAGGCGGCTTGTATCTGGGTCACTGAGGGACACCCAGCCCTCGGCCATAATCAGGAGACTGAAATGGGGGGGGGCATAGGACAAGGATATGTCCCCCTCTCTCTGGCCGTGTACAAACACCTCTGCCTGGGGCCTCACTGTGGACCAAGTCTAAGGCTTACTGAGTTCTGGGGGTCCCCAGCGATGAGACCCCAAGAGACACAGCTTTTCTCCTGACTTGGGATATTCCACCCCGGGCCTTGTAGGCAGCCGAGCCTGCTGACCACAGATCTCAGAAAACCTGGGAGCAGTGACTGAGGCCAGCCACCTGCTGGACCCGCAGCATGAAGGAAAATGAGGGCTGGATTCTTGTTTCTCAATAGGATGGAGTGCAGGACTGGCCGGGGCTTCCAGCCACCTCATCCATCCCTGAGGCTGGAGGACAGATGCAGGCAAGGTGAGTGTCAGTCATGGAGTAAGCCACCAGTGTGTGTATGTGTGTGGGTCCGAGTATCTTGGCCTTGTGCCATTTCCTCTGGCTCAGCTGAAGCTGGGAAGTATTCCTCCCACCCTTCATGTGACAAAGCATTTCTTATCTCAGGGGACAGGAGGTGGAGAGAACCTCAGACAACTGACAGGGAGCTTAAAACCCTCTATTTCCAACTTTTTTACTGATATCAAGGACACTGAGGATCAGAGAGGGCAATATAGTTGCCAAGGTCTCAGAGCAAGAGAGGAGACGCCAGTCTAAGTTTGTTCTTTAGGGAACAAAAGGGACTCCTTATTGCTTCCTTTGTTCCACAACTCAGGACCCCTCGGTCACAAGCAAGAGTCAGCTTCTGAGAGGGGGTGCCATGCTGATCATTGAGGGGAATGGCTGATCACCTAGCTTCTGCTCCCACACTGCCGACCCCTCCTCATAGGCTGGGCAGTGTTTCTCTCTATCTGACCTCCATTCTTCCTGCTGCAGCGTAGGCTTGTTTCTTCCCAAGCTGTCCGTGCAGGGAGCAGGAGAAGGGAGCAGAGCAGACGTGCAGCCTCCACACCCTGCCAGCGCTGAGGACCAGGGCAGGGTGTCCTGGCAGTTGGCCCTATGCCTGGTTTGCACATGGCAGAAGAATGGCAGATGTAGCGACGTGACTATAGAAAAAGAGCTGCTTCTAGGAACTGCCCAACCCCGTCCTCTCCAAAGCCCAGCCTCAGGCGGGCGGCAGTCTCTGCCCCTCCCCAGGACCCCGGTTCGCTTATCCCAAGCCAGGCACTGCGCTGGGCCTTTCGCCTATTCTCTCGTGTGTTCTTCTCTGTTTCATAGTAGAAACCAACTTTGCCCTCAGTGTCTGTGCTTCCATGAAGCTAAGTCTAACCTTGTTCTCACTTGCTGCATTTCTTCTGCTCCAGTCCCTGGTGACAGAGTTCATGTCTGTCCCTTCCTTCAGAAGCTGCCATCGTGACTCAGTGGTCTCGTACTATCTCTTCTAGGCCACCAGTCTTTATCCCAGCTTTGCCCTAGGTAACAGGGGACATGCATTTGAAAGGAGCCACAGCAGGACTAAGGACCGGGGTCCAGGGCTCTGCCCCGTGCCAGGTATGGAATGCACGTGGGTGGCAAGGAAGCCGGGCCAGTAGACGTGTTATAAGATCAGGATGGGCAGACCAGGACCTCTGGGGTTCTACACACACACACACACACACACACACACACACACACACACACACTCACACACACGGTCTAAGGCCAGGCAGGAAATAACCTCTTCTCTCCATATCTAAGCTTTGTTTCAATTCTCACTCCCAGAGCTCAGGGGCCTGGTCTGGAATAGGAGGGAAAGGGGGAGTGCACTGTGGCCTGAGCTGAAGCCGGAAGGGCCTGAGGCGCCAAACCAAGCAGCTACAAGAAGCTCTAGAGAACTGGTACCCTACTGCCCTGTCCTGCAGCATCCTCCCCACCAAGGCCATACATACTCATCCTGCTTTAGAGTAAGGACACAGGAGAGGTGGGGGACAGGACACCCACCTTCCCGGATGCTTAGCTCCCACCCTCTAAGAAGCTGGAGCCTTGGGAGTTGAGCCAATGGGTGAGGGGAGCTGGAAAGATAGGCGGGACTCTGGGCCCCATGTGGGTGGTGTCCTTCCCCCTATAAGCAGGCGCTATTAATATATGCAAAGCATATGCAAATCACCCAGAAGAGAGACACAACACTCGCAGGAATGTCAGAAGAGACCTTGGAGATCATCCAGCCCCGCCCCCTCATTTCAGGTGAGAAAGGAGACCAGGGAAGGGACTTACTCAAGGTCACACAGACAACTAGGCCTGAGACAGGATTAATGCAGGGCTCCAGGCTCAGTATGGTTTCTGATGCATCTGTCATCTGGAGGGTTAACCACGGGAGAGTGGCCAGGGCGTGGCATGGTGCCCAGAAGCTTCCTGGATCCCCCTTGCCTCCCTGAAGCCTGAAGGTAGTCTGATGGGCATGGGTTGAGAGACAGCAGTGGGACTGAAGTGCCATTAGGGAACAGGGACCAGGGACCAGAAGGGCTGGGAAAAAATCTGTTGGGGAGGTGGGGAGGTGAGTGCCAGAAGGTTCCTGAAGTGTGCGAGGCAGGGGCATGAGGAGCCCGCTGTCAAGGTGAGTTGGTGTGGGAAGAGCCACCACACACACACACACACACACACACACACACACACACACACACCGTGCAGGCTTGAGTGTGCTCTTAAATGCACAGCAGCCCCTCCAGCCTGCACTTTGACAGTGATGGCACCTGACAGCCCATAATAGTCAGCCGGCCCATCCCTGCCGAGGGAGGCAGTGGCTATGGCTGTTCAGGGACTGCTCCCTCAGCAGCAACCTTCCACTCAGTCCTAGAAAGCAGGATCGCTGCTAGGGCAGAGCAGACAGACAGAGGGGAGGGGCCACCAGAGAGAGCAAGGGGACCTTTGAAGGAGAGGGGACTTGGGGCGGGCGGGCCGGAGGAGAGGCAGGGAGATGGGAGGTGGGAGTGAAGTAGGAGACCCGAGGTGCGAAGAGGGGATTTTGGAAACAGGAGGATAGAGAGGGATGCTGTGGGGTCCCAGGGGCCTAGAGGACCACAATAGAGTCGGGGTGCGGGGGGGGGGGAATGACTGGGTATAGAGTCCTGCCACTGAGGTGCCACACTGTCAGCAGGGGTTGGGGACCAAGCTTCTGCCCATCACTGACTGCCAAGAAGTCGGCCCTCCCTCCCTCCCTCCCTTCCACCTTCCCTCCCTCCCTCCCTCCCTCTCTTGCTCCTGCCTCTCTCCCTTGGGGCAGGAGCTGCTTCCCAGCCAAATCCAAAGCCTTCATCTCCTCTTTTCAGAGCTGGGAATAAAAGAAGGGGAAGCGAGCGCAGCCCTCAAACCCGCTGACGGCCAGATTTTTATTATCTTTGCTCAAATGGGCCCTGGGAAGCCAGCTAAGGAGTCTTCAAAGAACCCCTGAGTGCCTCATTGAAGCTGCACCTGCTCCGGCCCACCCACAGCAGGCGTGGGCTGGGGGCACAACTCATCCCCAGAACCCCCAACTCCAGGGAGCTGAGCCAAGGATTCCAGAAGCCTCAACCTCAGCACCTTGTGTCCAGGCAGGGGCCACAAGGTCAGGGAGCCAGGCCAGACCTGGGCTAGCTGGGCATCAAGGCAGGCCCTGTTCCTATCCGGGCCTGAACAACATAAATGAAGGAGGAAAAGGCATCTCCTTGCCAGAGCTTAGAGATAAGTGCTTAGAATTCCTCGAAAGAGATGCCTTTATGGCCAGCCTGGGATTTCCCCTGGACCCTGACCTGCCTGGACACTCACAGGCTACTCCATTCCTCCAGACTCCCGTGATAGTGACAGCACGAACCTTGTCAACCACCACCGCTTCCTGCTGTGCTCCCAGCTCAGTGAAAGAGGTCAAATTCGTGTAAGCCAACCTTCCCCTCGCCTGAGCACGGTGCCCAGCAGTTCCAACCCTCAGTTGGGCTGCTCTTCTTCCCCCAATACCTATCTGGGGTGGAGGTGGGGAGCTTCAAAGAGCCCAACCCGATTCCTGCTCAGCACTTCCAGGGCTGGGGTTTTGGCAGAGAATGCCAAGGCTAGCCAGCACTCGGCAGACAGAGCCTGTGCCACCCCTTCCCCCATCCCCTGCTCTGACCACACCATCGAGATCGATGCCCGCAGCCAAAAAGGAATCAATGGTTCTAATTAAACCCTATTCTTGGGTGGGTCCCTGAACAGGAAGGGGGGACTCTCAGAGGGGCCATGAATTCTGGTGGGTCACTACTCACCTTTAAGAGGCTATATAAGTAAGGCCAGGGAGCCCCCCAGACCTCCTATGCTAGTGGAAAGTGAACAGAGGGGTGGTGGTGGTGGGAGCCTGAGGTGGGAGCATGTCTCTGAGGGCTTGTTCTAGGAACCCTTCCCCTAGTGAGGCTCCTCTCCCCTCTCCTGGTCTCAGACTACATGTGTTTCTTCTAGGTCGATCTCCAGAGCAGGAGCCAGAAGGGAGACCTCCATCCCAGTGTCATAGCTGAGAGCTAGCCCTCCAGGAAGGAAAGATGCAGGACCGGGGGGCAGCACTGGACAAAGACCCTCTTGTCCTCAAGGCAGAGTGGCAGGGAGCCAGGGCAAAGCCTTTGCAGCCAATGGTGCCTGGGTATGAGGCAGCCTAGGGGGAGCCCCTTCCCCTTATGTCCAGAGCCCTTGCCCACCGTTGCTTCCACACCAGGCTAAGTCTCTACATCAACTCTCAGCCTATCGAGAGCACTCCTTCTGACTGAATAGCACTTTGGACACTTACCCTGAGTGACTCCCACACCAGCCAGCATCAACCAGACCCCTGTACCCATACCACAGCTGCCCCTCACTTACAAACACACACCAGCCATGCTAGAAACCAACAGTGTCCCAGCTGTCACTAGAGACAACAGCCTCGCCACCCCTAGTAACTCTCCATCGGGCACATCAGCAGGTTTTTAGTCACAGGGACAGGGAAGGGGAGAAACTGAGGCACAGAGTTAGACAGTCAAGCAGTTGGCTCAAGGTCACCCAGACCAAGATGACCAGAGTAAAGTATCTTAATACCCCATCCCCAAAGGGCACAAACCCCACCCAAAGGAACAGTTGTATCCCTAGACCTAGCGTCTGCTCAGTTTCTCCTCTTCCCACCTTCATCCCAAACACCTTCTAAGGGGCTGCAGCGGAAAAGCCGCCACCAGGGACCCCACTTCCCTCAAAGCTGGGGCCTGCGGAGCTCCAGATATGGCAATATTTGAGAGGGGCTGTAAGGGCAGTTCAGCCTTGCTCACACTGCTGATCCGGCTCACCTGGCTCCCCGCGGGCCCCAGAGTCCCTTGGTCCAACCTCCTCCCTGGGAGAGCGGGCGCGACCCTCCGCGGTCCTCTCCCACCAGGCCAGGGCAAAGCGCCGGAGGCACTGCCAGGGCTGCATGGGGAGGCGTGGGGCTGGGGGCGCGCACCAGCAGCCACACACGCCCCACCGGGCCCTGCCAGCTGAGCTGCGGAGGCACCCGGTCGGCCCCCTCTACTGCCACCAGCATCCTGCTGCCCCCACCAACAGGACTCGGAGCCGGCCCGGGAGCTTCTGACGTAGCAGGGGGGTGCGTGGGAGAGGAGGGGGAGCCACGACGAGTCCCCTCCCCAGCCCCGCCCCTCTACTCTCCAACCCCCTGCAGTCCCCACCTCCTCATCACCCCGGACGCCCTCCCCAGCTGGGGGCGCCCTCCTTTGCCCCTTGCCTCTGCAGGGGGAGGGTTTAAGATCCAGAAGCCCCTCCCTCAGTCCCTCCCTCTCTATGGCCCTCCCTACCCGCCCGGAGAGCGGGGAGCAGGTCCCCAGTTTCTGCAACTGCTGCGGAGGCTAGGAGGTCTCCAGGGCTAGGGCCTCGAGGTGCAGGGGGTGGGGTGTAGAATACAGCCTTGTATCCTGGCAACACAGCCAAACCCAGAGCGCTCTCAGTCCCTTGCTTCCCGGAGGGACTGGCGCGAAGGGTCCAGCACCACCAGCCCAGCGCCTGCACCCCATTCTGAGAGCTGAGGCGGGGATGATGCTCTTCCCTTTATCCCTTTCCCTCCCCCCTCAGCATCCCTGGCCTCACCTCGCATGGACCTCCTCCTGTCCCCCCTACTCTCCTCGCCACCCCTTTCA